ACCAACGACGTCAAAAAAACAAAGAAGAAAACAAGTAGAAAATAAGCACAAAGGACATGTTACAGGATTTATGCAGGATTCATTTGCATTCATACATATAAAAGGAAATATTACGCTCATCCTGTCTGCGTGTTTGTGTGTAATTCGAAAACTTTAGCAGTTGCTGCTAAAAACTGCCATTGTTACTGGTAAACGAGGATTTTGTCTGAGTACAGGAAATATTTATTTTCGTCTAAAGAATTTTGTGTGTGTGTTTAAACATCACAAATTGCAAGATTTTTCTCGTATCTTACTACTTACAACTGATATTAGTTGTCAGTAGTGTTTACAAAGTATTTAATTTATATGTGCAATTGTTTTAAATGTAAATATTTAAATTAAAATGTACAGACATTAAAACTGAAAAATAAAACTATTAATTTATGGTTTTTTGTTCAAATAGAATGCTAATATTATTTTTGTATTTAAATTGTGGTTTGATAACTTGACATATGTTTGTATTTAGGAATAAAAGAAGATCTTAATTTACATGGGAATATAAGAAATAGTCTTATTAGTTAACCATAATATTATTTTTAAAATTCTATAAATTTTTAACAAATTGTTTTTGGTTTTGCTCTACAACATTATCATCAACATTGTTGCTGTTGTTTGTCGTAATAAAATTATTAACAGTAGAACATATTTATAAAAATAAATGCCAAGGTCAGACAGCTAAATGTCTTCGTGTATGTTTTTTTATTGAATTTTTTATGGATAAATAAATGTCTATATTTATCTCTGAAATGTTTCTTCCAAGACTTTTTAATTATTAATGGGAAATTTGTTTAAATTTTTATTTGTCAATAATGTGTCGTCTAACAAGGAGTTTTATGCCATTTATGGTCTGTTTATTCCGTCCATAATTATTTTTTAAGTGATTTTTTATACACTTTTTTTTTGGTTAATCTTTTGAATACAAATGTTTGTCAAATTTGGCGAGTGAGTGCATGCAAATGATTTGTTTAGGAATTTTGTTCTCAAACAAAAATAGTAAAAAAAATAATTTTGAAAAATGATTCATGCTAAATATGAAAAAAAAATCTAAATTTCTATAACGCAAATATTGTTTTAAATAAGATTAATGTCGACATTTAAATGACAAAATACATATCGGCGTCTGTATAAATATTTAATGTTACGTTTTGAAGGAAAAGTTAAGCTAAATAAAGTAAATTTAGAATTATGAGTAAAAAATTGTCATAAATTTTAAAAATTTATTGTATTTTTTTTATCTTCAGGTCACATAAATTATGAATTTTTTAAGAAAACAAAACATACATGTTAATAAATTAAATACTTTTGGTCCGCTTAATTTTAACTTGTAGGGAATAATGTTGTGATTTCTCATTTTGAGTGACAATAACAATTCAAATTATGTTTCTTTTTATGTATTTTTTTTATCATAATATCATAAATTTATGTATATGGGCAATTTAGTGTCAAGTGACCCAACTTTTAAAATCGATGTCTTCTGATTTGGATGAAATTTGCACTAAGGTTAGTACTATTGGATAGTAGGCCAGTCACAAATTTTCAACTCAATCGGTCAAGAACTGCCAGACTGGTCATACCGGGTTTTATTCTAATGAGTGTAACTTTTCACCTATTGGTCCTAGCAAATATTGTCCAAAGAAGTTCAGATAGCTATTTCTTCGTTGTTTCCAAACTGAACTCCTTTAGACCAATAGGTGAAAAGTTACACTCATTTGAATAAAGCCCTGTATGACCAAAATGTCTAACTTTATAGTCGGGCATGGCCGTCCATATGATACCCTACACCAGTAATTATGTTAAAAATGTTGATTATTTTATTTAATAATAAAGTATTAAATTTCATTTTTACCTTAATTCAGAAATATTTTAACAATTGGTTGACAAAACAAGGATTTTTTAAATGAGGGATTATATGGGGCAGGGAATTAATAGGGTCCTATCCTTATAACTTTTGGTAGAGGGATTTACATCTACATCAGTTATTTATGAAGAATTTCATCATGATATTAGTGTTTATAAGTGAATTTTAACCATCATGTCATTTTCTGAAGGGGACTTTGTATGGGGGATAGGGTCAAATGAGGCCCTATCATCATTAAGACATATACAACACTAAGTTTTGACGATTTTTGAAGTGATACAAGAACATTTAACATGTTTATGAGCTCAAAAGACCTATTTCATCAAATTATCTTGAAAATTGCGACCTGTAGAGTTCGCACAAGGATTACATGGACAGACAGACAGACGGACGGACAGGCGGAAATAGCTAAATTGACTCAGAAAGTGATTCCGACCCGATTGGTATACTTTAAGGTGTGTGTATAACCAAAAGTTTTGGGTGATACAAATATCAGCACAAATGCATATTACCTTCCCCACTATATTGGTTTAGGTTATAAAACTCTTTAACGAAAAAAAAAGCTGTAAGAAATAATGCTTCAACGAAATTAAGGCTTTAACGAATATATAAACTTTAACCTTCAATAAATATAAAGCTTTAAGCTTTTAACTTTTATAAAATAAAACAAATTTGCTCTTTATAACTAGATAAACTTTAAGGATTAAAATTAACTTTTTTTTGTCGCCATTTGTTGAACGCACCTTAACCCTTTCATATAAAACTTGCTGTTGCTGTTAATTCCTGGCAAAAGTATCAAAACTTTTTCATAACCTGCAACGAACGCACTACAACTTTTGTTTTTATAGTTGGATTCTGTTTTTTTAGCTTTTTATTTTATTTTATTTTAATTTCAGTCATATTTACTTTGGTGTTTTTTTTAATATTTGTCTTTGAATACTCCATCTAAAGGACTCTGGTGAATTTCCGTTTATTTGCATTTTTAGTTGGAATTATTTGAACCATTAAAAATAACTTTTTGACTGCATGCTACAGCGTAAAATTGGTCGATAAGGAAACGGTGGTTTATGCTAAAGAACATTTAGGAACAGTCGTTAAAGTGGTAGTGCATACTAAAGTAGATACTTGAGATGAGTGTATGTGCGTGTTATTTTGAGTAATAATTTAATTTTATTTGGAGATTTATTTGCAGAGATTTTACTATATTTTTTTCATTGTAATTTATAATTAAATTTAAATTAAATCATTTGTAATTAAGTTTAATAAAAAAAATATGTTGCTATAGAATATTCAGACATTTCCTGGTTCGCTACAATCTCTGCTGGTATTCTTCATTCCCATTCATTTACATTTACATTTTAAATGACTATTTTTATAAGTTCGCTCGACAAATAAATGTTCACTAAAGAAGATTTTCGATTTGGCTTATGAAATCAAAAGCCAAAATTCACTTGGTACAATTGAATACATTCAATAGACTGTAGAGTACTACTAGGTCTATATATATTCTCTAAAAATCTTCCCTTACTCTATTTCATTTATACTTTTATTTCCGTTTAACTGTTGCTGTTTGCAGAAAAAAAATAAAATTTAAATTGTCAGTTGCATACAACTTTTTACGTAATTCGTATACATGTGTACAGCTGAAGGCATTGTTTTTGGTACTTTTTTAGTATTGTAGTTGTGTGGCAAAAATATAAATAAATTTACATACAAAACTATTGCTTTGCTACGAGTGTTGAATTGAAATTTAAATTGTTTATAATTTGCTAGAGTTTTATTTGAAATTTTTGTATCGCACTCGTGTTAAGGGACACAATTGAATTTGCAATTGGATGGTAATAAAATGTTTGTAATTTTGTAAAAAGGAGGGTAACCATTTTTTTATGAAAGTAAATTTAATACTTTTACACTTAATTTTAAGTATTTTTAGGAAATTTAAGGTAAATGGAGGGAAATATTGAACGTTAGAAAACAATAATTCTTCATTTCATAATGAAGAATTGTGGTATTTTTACTTCTTAAATAAGTTTACTAATTTAATTAACTTTTAATCAATTTAATTTTTTAAGCTTCTCTTGTTCATTAATTAAAATATGCTTTAAATTTATGTCTAAAATTCCTAGAATTTCAACATAAAATACGAAAAACTTTATCATTATTACCTTTTGCTGTTTTAATGCTGAGAAAAACTTCTCAAATTCCAAATACTTTTAGTACCTATTTACTCAGTTTCTCTATCAGAAATGTTAAAATCAAGAAGAAAAAAACAACTTATCAGATTCCAAAGGACTATTTTGCTGACTGAGTAACTCAGTCTACCTCAATGTTTGCCTCATTAAAATTATTTACTTCAACTTGTAAACAATTGCAGCTTCATTTACTTTTGTAAATTGACTCTTCTATTAGGTAGAAAATATATTCTTAAAAGAAGGAAAAATGGAAAAATGTAATAGAAAACATTAAATACAACTTAAGTAGTTTTCTATTTATCATCAAAGCAAATAAATTAAATGAAGAGCACAGGTAACAGTTTCTGGAAAAGGAAATTTTGCAATGATGTTGAAGTAGAGGAAAATAAAAATACAAACATATTTGTAGTTGTAGTAAAATATTTGACTATTTGACGAAAAAGGAAAATATTTCAACAAAAAATTTGTTTGATTTCATTAAAAATAGGTTTTCTTAAAGTATGAAAAATATTTTGCTGAAAATAATTAATTCAAATTTCTCATAATTTCACTAAAAATACTATTATAATTCACTTAAATACAATTTTTCATTAAAAATTCAATTAAAAAAATATTGTTGATTTAATGAAATATCAGCGTTTTGTCATTTAAATTAAAATGTTCTTTATATTTATTAAACTTTTATGATTTTTTTTATTTTAATTCTAACATTTAAATATTTCTTTTGTTTTTCAAAATTTAACAAATTCTCTTACTTCTTTATCACGTTTTAAAAAAACACACCGCCTGTGTGAACGTTTTTAAGCAAACTAAAAATCGATTTTAGGATTAAATACAATTAAAGGTTTTAAGATTTCCTGTATTCAAAATTCAAATTGAAATAGTGTATTCGTATTAGTTTCAAAACTTACCTTCTCTTCTTGTATTTTAATATTGTTATTATTAATAACAATTCATATAAAAATCTGCAAAAAACAAAAATAAATAATAATAAAAAATTAGTTTTATTATCTCTTACTACATGAAATAAATTATTCATTTATTTATTAATTTAATGCAAAACCCAAAAAATAAAAAACCCAGAAAAGTCCCAAAAGGCTACGCCTTAAAAAAATCTGTCAAAAGTCCAAAAAATAACGTATCATTAAATAAAAGTATCTTTCAAAAATAAACGACTAAAAATAACTAATGACCATCATTATGATGGTGTCTAATAATTGTCATTATTTTTTATGATTCTGACACCCCTTCCAAACAACAAACAACTGTTTGATTCCGCAAATCACAAATGACAGCTTTCAATAGCAATCAATAGGAAAAAGCCCGCTAATATTGTAACAAATACATACACAAAGTATTTGTTGTATTTATTTTTGTTGATATTTTTAAATAACTATTACACAAATGTCAATTCTTTTTTATGCTTTTATTACAATAACAATTCAAACTTTATCACCTTTGAATAGTATTTAATGGCGACAATAAAGCCAAAATATTGTACAAAAATAAAAAATAACATGAAAAGTACTTAAAAATAGAAAACTGTTGGCGGCGCTATTACACACTTTGTCATAAATATTCAGCTCATTGATAGTTTAACAAAAAAAAAAATATTCTCTAATTGACAGTGTTTTCTATACTTACTTTTATGATAAACAACAATTTATTTATTAATGCTAAAATTGTTTAAACAATGTATGAATAAATGTTACTAATTAATTTAAGTTTTGTTGAAAATCTCCACAAAAAAGAGGTGTGAATTCAAGTCAATAGGTCTGCTGCTGCCCATTTGATAGACAAAATATACTGCTATATTTCTATAAAATAATCGTTTAATAAATATTAATATTTTTTTTTTTGGTAAATAATTATTTTAATTTTAAAACGTACTTGTGTAAATATCCGGAGATTTGTTCTTAGTTGTAGTCAATCGGTGGTGACTAATAGATCTAAGTAGTCTTTAAATATTCCGTCTTTTAGGGGCTTTTAACTGCCTTTAGACGTGCTTAAAAATCTAACAACTACAAGTTTAATGGTTGTATGGTGGCTATACGAAATAATGGACCGATTTAAACCATTTTCAATAGCCTTCGTCCTTGGGTCAAAAGAAGAGTATGTGCCAAATTTCCTGTAGAGCGCGCACAAGGTTTACATGGACACACAGACGGACGGACATAGATAAATCGACTATGACCCGATTGGTATACTTTAAGGTGGGTGTAGGACCAATATTTTGGGTGTTACAAACATCAGCACAAACGCATAATACCCTCCTCACTATAGTGATATAGGGTATAAAAATTTGTTCACTAAATGTATAATTTTTTAATGTTCAGAAACTCAGTTTCCTGCACGAAATTCCTAAGAATTTTCCAATCAGTGTTCAGGTCAGGAATATTATTTCAGGAATAACATCACTTCCAAGATACTTGCATCTAACTTCGACGAATGCCTGACAGTGGCAAAGAAAGTGCTCCAGTGTTTCACTGTTCTCTCCACATGCTCTACATTTGTCGTAATCCTGTGTGTCCACACAGAATACGTACCATCATACTAACCTTAGACTTGCTCATTTTGAGGAGATTTCACGTCTTGCTCTCATCAGGGTCACCTCATAGAATCTTTGTGGTTCTACCCACATTTTCATTATTCCAAGAGGCGTTATGGGATTCTCTCACCCATATTTTTAATTCAGCTTTTTTTGCGTCGTAATTTTTTGCGTTCGTCAGGTTAATAACCTCGAGCTCCCTTCCCTTAAAAGCTATTACATTCGTCCTTTCGTTGCCGACTACTCCCGAGTGGCCTAGTATGATGTAAACCTTACCTCTTGGAGAATATTCAGTTAAAGCTTTAACTAACTCGAGCTCCCTTCCCTTTAAAGCTATTACATTCACCCTTTCGTTGCCGTCTACTGGGAGAATATTCCCACCTGATATCGCCCTAATTGCCTTCTGGCTATCGGTAAATATAATTGTTTAATTATTTTTTAAATAATTCTAATTTTCTACAATTATCTACTTTATGCCTCCTAGGTAATCTAGCGTAGGGCAAATTGTTATTGAATGTCTTTAAAAATATTTTATAAGAAATGCAGGCGTTATATTTAAAATGTATAAAACGTTAAATTTTTATATCATTCACAAAATTGCTTCATTTTGTTTATCTTTTTTAAAGAATATCAACAATATTAATAATTGCGCGTTTAGAATTTAATCGAAATTTAAATCATGAAATATTTACTTATTTGTAAATTTTAATTTAAACAATTAGATTCCATTTATTTTTGTATCTTCAAAACCAAACTGGGTTAGATGTCAGAAAAAGTCTGACAATGCATAAAAATATTGCTCACATTTTTCTTTTTTGCTGCTGCAGTATGTTGTGTGTTCTCCACACTAAAACCAAAAAAATACCGACATTTCAATATTTGTTGGTATCTATTTGAGAACTTTTCAAAAAAAAATTTTAACAAAAAACTAATATAAAAAAAGATGTACAGCTTTTTATGATAATTATGATTTGTTTGCATCTCTTAAGTAGTTTCGTTTCAAGCGCAAAAATTTGGTGCAAAAAAATAAATTCTTAAAGATAAAAAACTGTAAAAATAAAATTCTCAAACAACAACAGTTTGAAGTTTCTGCGCTGTTGATGTTTTGGGCTTAAAGACTATACGAAAAACTGCTCAGACTCACATATAAAAAAACATCCATAAAATTTACGATTTCTGACACTACAGGCACAGCATTAAAGATGCTTATTTATGCATTATTTCTATAGTTTTTTTTTTATATTTTATTTTAAAATGTGCAACTTTAGAATAGAAATGAGTTAAAGATAAAATAAGAAAATAAAATGACTGCATATTCAATGCTTTTGCGTTCAGTTTGACGTTTAACAATGTTTTCAAGACGTTTTTAACACATAAACTTCTCATGCTTTAGATCATACTATGTGTATCTTAATACTTTAAGGGGTTTCTATTAATTTAAGGTTTGAATTTTAATAAAAGTTTACAGACAAGAATTTTCTAAGCGATTACGTAAAGAAAATTTTCTTATAGATAACTTAAGCGACTCGAGTGGTGACATGCCAGAGTTAGTGCTAACACGGCAAAAGTTTTGCGAAGTATATCAGTGATCGTCACTCACAATCATCAGCGAACGAACTTCATTGAATGTTTACATGTACAAAACACAAACACCAATAGAAGTCATACAATTAAATACATTCTAAAAGATTGAATACCCTCTTTATGCCGACCACTGATTAACAGTGTTGTTAAGCAACTGGTATCTAACGGTTTCGTTGCAAAGGCATTTTTTTAATTATCAAGTTAAAGTTTGCCCAAAATGTCTTAAATAATAATTTCATTCGAAATATTGCTTTTTACATTAATTTGTGTCTTTGTTGACAAGACTAGTAGTATGTCGACAACTGTCAAACTAATGATGACTTATTAAACGGTAATTTGAACACATTTCGGTCATTTAGTAAACAATGTAGTTGATATGATTAGGACTGTAAAGAATTGTTTTTACTTGGTTGATTTTAACAAATATACTTAAGGGCTTCTTTGAACAGACATACATAGACCGATAAATAATGAATGAGAATTTGTTTTGATGCTATTTTATGCTTTTAACCCAGTTTAGGCTTTTTTTCTTGGCCATGAACCATAAACTATGCAATTTTAGTTTAAATTTTATTTATTCTTAGAATTTTCTTTTTTTTCATTTCCAGGTAAGTCGGCCATTATCAACATGTATGTTTGTGGTAAAATTGCATCACTCTAATGGTGAGTTTTTATTCAAATATTTATAAAATGTTTACATTGCAGAACAAAAACTAAACATCATTTTCTATGCAAATGAAAATTACAATTTAATCTCAATCTTAACAAGAATATAACATTATTATTCTACTTTTTTACATTTATTTTTTCCTTTTTTGCTTGCAACAAATGTATTTGTTTACTCTTTATGCAACATTATCATGATTTAGTATTCGAAAACAAAAAATGGGGAAAAAATCTTTATTGTGCTAAATTAGAATCATTTATTAGATTCTGTTGAATACTGCTAGCATTAGTGCTCTCTACTATTTAGAGCACAATTTTTAGCAATTTCTATCGATAATAAATACAAAATCCATGTAAATATTTACAAAATAGAATTTCAAATACAATAAATAAAAACAAATAGTAGAATTTATAGATTTCTATTGCAATTGTGTGGGTATTTGATGATACAAAGTCATGTTGGTTTTTGCAAAATGTATTTTAAGTTATTTGCAACTATAGAAGTTTTCTAACTGTTAAGAGGACAATTTAAGCAAAGTTTTCTTTGCAATAGAGAAGAATATATTACGGTAATGAGTGGTTAGCTAAGATCTAGAAAATAGGGGTTATATTGATTTTGTCATTCCGCTTGCAATAGCATATATTCTAGGACCTCGTAGGATTATAAAATATCGGTCCATAATTTCTCCTAGCCTCTACTAGGTTTCAAGTCAGAATATTCTGAACCATCGTTTCTTTTAGCCTGTACTAGACTCAATCTGAAAATTTTAAATCACCAAATAGTTTTTATACTATTTATTTATAAAAAGGTACTTTTTGAAGTACTTATTTCTTGGAAAACGGTACCAAACATAGGTATGAAATAATAAAATGCACGTATTTTTATTATATTAACTACCTTACAAACAGTACTTTTGCTTCTCTACATGCCTTTCTACTCATTGTAGGGCATCATTCATTATCTTCCAGATTTCAATGTTGTTTTACAAATAAAAATGTAAAGAAAGACAGACAGACGGACGGATGGACGGACATACTGATATACATAAAATAAACAAATAAACAAATTACTAACCAATAAATAAAATAAAATAAAATACAATAACAAAAATATCTGCGCCAAAGTCATTACAATGTTTACAATTAAAAAACATTATTGATTACTAT